TGCTGACGGACACTGAAGAGGGAGAGTCCTTGGGCACCAACAGCGGCGATTACGGTAGGAAGTGTCACGGGGGCACCAGTAGGGCCAGCTCCTGCGGCGAGGAGGTCGGGAACCCCAGACGTCCCGGGGACCCCCAGGTTACCATGTGTGCCCGAGCCCCAGGGTAGCACCTCCCTCCTAAGAGACGTCCCTCCTGTGGGCTCACGGGCAGCAGAGAGGCCTGGGCTGTGCAGGTGGTGGCCGTGGCCACCATCCCATCCTGGGAGGGCTGGTAGGAGCGAGAGGTGCGCGAGCAGGTGGGACGGGGTCCCCGCACCCTGCTCACCACCTCGGCCTTGGGCGAGGAGTATCGGCCCCTGCCCCCCTACCAGGAGACCTCGCTGCGCATCCTGGCGGCGGCCCTCAGCCCCGTGGACTACCGCAAGTGGAGGAGGAAGCCTTGGTACTGGCGGCTCTTCAGGGTGCTCAAGGTAAGCGAGAGCCGGGTGCAGCCTGCACGGGGCACAAGGAGCCCCCCAACGGGCCCCGCTCATAGCCCTCCTCCCAGGTCCCCGTGGAGCTGGTGCTGCTGCTCACGGTGCCCGTCGTGGACCCCGACAAGGACGACCTGAACTGGAAGAGGCCCCTCAACTGCCTGCACGTGGTCACCAGCCCCCTGCTCTGCATCCTCACCCTCAAGTCGGGCACCTGTAAGACCCTCCCCGGGGCTGCTGCCTGCCCCCAAAACGCTCTGCCTGGGGGCACGGAGGCCCGCAGGGGGCTCAGCTCTCGGCCACCACGGAGGCTTTGGGGAGAGGTGGCTTGGGGGGGGGCCCAAAGCTTTACCTCGCGCCCTGAGACCGGTGGGACCCTGCTGTGCTGACGCCCGCTCTCTGCCCGCCGCGCGTAGACGGGCTGTACCAGATCCAGGGCGTCTTCCCCGTCTGGGCGCTGGTCATGCTGGTCGGCACCGTCGTGGCCGTTCTGGTCTTCAGCACCACGAGCAACGAGGAGCCCCCCAAGTACCACTGCGTAAGGCTGGGGCTGACAGTCCTGGGGGGAGCAGGAGCTGCACGCTCCGCCTTGGTCCCCCCACCACGTCCCCCGCACCGGGGACTGTCCTGGGGCTGCCCCAGGGACCGGCTCGCTCCCTTCCCGGCAGGTATTTGCCTTCCTGGGGTTTTTGGCCAGCGCCATGTGGATCAACGCGGCGGCCACGGAGCTGGTGAACATCCTCCGCACCCTGGGCGTCATCTTCCAGCTGAGCAACACCGTGCTGGGCCTGACGCTGCTGGCCTGGGGCAACAGCATCGGCGGTGAGGGGGCCACGCTGCCCCAGCCCGGCGCGGCCGGGGGACGCCGCTGCCTGGCCGACGGGGGGCCGAGAGCGGCTGGAGCGGGCGGGGCGCGCCCGG